TTTTTTTTTTTTTTTTAATTGAGTAAATTTAATAAAATTTAACTTTTTTTATTTACTTTTTTTTAGTTTATAAGTTATGTATAATCTCTTACAGTATTTTTGATTTTTTTTTATTGTTATATTAACGAATGTATTAGTATGTTCTAAAGCTATTTTCATATAATATATTAGTTTTTATGTTGAAGAATTGAGTCTATGTTATTTTTTTTTAACAATAAATTTAAAGATATTAAAATTTACTAGATTTTAATACTTATAACTTATTTAATTATTTTGTTATTCAAGTTAGAATAATTAAATAGGTTGTAAGTTATTATTAATTATCTTTAAAATTATTTTATAATTTATATTTTATAAGCGTTTCATTGCTTTTTATTTAAAGAGACTAATAATTATCATTAAAAACAACAAAGTCTAAAGGTATTTATGTATTTTAGTTTTAATTTTTTCATTATTAATTAAATAAATGTAACTAGGTTATAAGCAACTTTGCTTTTAAATTGTCATAGAAAAGAGATTAGAAATAACAATGAATAGCAAGAATAACATTTTTAATTGTGATAGTCATAATTGATTGTTTTTGAAGAATTTAAAGATAAAAAGAATAACATTTTTTATAAAAATTTATGTTATTAAGAAAAGAAAATCATACAAAATCTAAAAAAAAACATAAAAAAAAGACTAAAGTAAGAAAGTGATAATTAATGCAAACAGTGATAAGAACAACAAATACCTTTGAAGGAGATTTGAGTAATGAACAGACAGAATATAATATTGATGCAATTATAAAAGGAAAAGATCAAGAAACATTCTTCAAAAATACAGTAAGTAAGATGATTAAAAGAGTTATTGAAGGGACTGATCTTTATGTTATGTGTTATGGAGGAAAACAGTCTGGAAAAACATTTAGCTTAGAAGGGTGTTTTAATAACATTGATTTTACTAATGCGGGATTGATTCCACGATCAATTAATGCACTTATTGAAGAATTAAAAACAAAAGGAAAGTATACAATTCGAGTGAGTTATGTTCAAGTTGAAGATAAAAAGATTAATGATTTATTATGTGAAGGTGAGAGTGATGTTTTATTGAAAGAGCCAACAAAAAAATTTAAAAATCAACTTGGAGGAGTTATGTTTCTTTGTGCAACAGAATTAACAGTTACAGAAAGTACTACATCACAAGTTTTTTCTAAATTAAATGTTCTTAGAAAAGAGAGAACAAAGAATGAAATAGAAAAACTTGAAAACGTTTGTAGAGTATTCTCGGCTTCAATAATTTCATCAGAAGAAGAAAAAAGAGGACAAAAAGAATATATTGATTGTGGAAGAATTACATTTATTGATCTTCCATGTTGTTGGGAACAAAGCAATCATAAAGGGAGTTTACTTAATGGATTAAATTGTTATGTAGAATCAAATAGAGAACAAAGAATGAGATTATCTACAAAGAATAATGATATTACTCGTATTTTACAAGAAGTATTAGGTGGACAAGGATTTTTAATAGCCATTGGATGTATTTCATCAATAAATCAACAAGAAACTATTCAAACATTAAGGTTTTTAAATAAATTAAAAACTATTAAGAATGTTCCAATATATTCAAGACATATATTAAAATCAGTTTATGATAATTATTTGGATGAAGAAATAAAACAATTAAATTATCAATACTCTGATCTTCTTAGAAAAAATGTTATTTCTAAAGAGGCATTAGAAGCAAAAAAACTTCAACAAGACATTCAAAATCAAAGATACACCAATGTTCAAATTGGTAGTTTAATTCAAAGAGTTAGAAAAGAGTCAGAACCAGAATATAATAAAATTAATCAAAAGATTTTAATAGCAAATGAATATATTACAAAAAAGAAAAGAACTGAGTTAGAACTTAGGGATAAAATTACAGATATGATTGATTTAGCTAAAAAAATTGAAGAACATAATAAACAATTAGAAGATATGATTCAAAAACAAGTTGAAGAAGCACAAAGACAAAAAGAATATATTGAAAAAAGTATTAATGAATGTAGAATAGATGTTGATGAATTTAAAAAAAAATATAATGAAGGAGAAGAAAAAATCATTGAATTAATGAAAGAAATAAATAATCATTTAGAAGGAGAAGAATGTAGAAAAATAGAACTTCCAAAATATTCATCAATGAATGAAATTAATGAGATGTTAAATAAAGTAATTGTTTCATTTAAATATGATGGAAAAAAAACAATAAAAATAATAGAAGATGTATTAGAAGAAAGTCAACAAGAGATGAATGATTTTGAACTTCTTATAAATCAAATGATTAATAGATTAGAACAAGGAAAAAGTAGATGGAGTCCAGTTGAAGATAAAATTATTGAACAATTTCAATTACTTATTCAATTCATTCAACAACAAAAAAAAGAAATGGAAGAAGAAATAAAAGAAAAAGAAAAAATAAAAGAAAAAGAAATTTATCAAATTCAAAGAAATAAAGAAGAAATTAAAAAAGAAATAAAAGAGTTAATACCAGAAATGAATAAAGAACTAGAATCAATTATTCAAAAATATCAACTAATTATTAGTAATTCTATTAAAGAAAAAAATAATGAATATTTTCCTATTGGAAATGAAATTAAAATGGAAGAATGTATGGAAATATTTGAACAAAAAATTCAAAATAAAATAGAAGAAGTAAAAAAAGAATTAGAAATTGAAATTCTAAAAGATAATGGAAATGAAGAAAAAATAATGAAAAAAATGAAAGATTCAATAGAAGAAGAAAAACAAAAAAATAGATTTGAACAAGAAGTCTTTAAAGAAAGTATTGAAAAAACTAAAATTGCTATTCAAAAGATTTTTGATGAAAGTGGAGTGATTGATTTTATTAAAGAACAATGTAATTTATTAAATGAAGATGATAAAAAATTAAAACAAAAACATCTTCCATTAAAAAAGTTATTTCAACAAAGTTATAAATCATTAAATGAATTATTTAATGAAATTAATACAACTTTAAATGAATTTATTGAAAAAGTTAATCATATTACTATTGACTATGAATCTGAAATTGTTATTGAAAGAATTCAAAGTCCACCTATTCCTTCAATATTAATGCAAAATTCTGAATATCCAACAGTATTAGATGATATAGATTCTTCTAAATTAATACTTAAAAAAAATTAAATGATTTGAATGTTTATTTAAACTTTTTTTTTCTTTCTTTTAAAAGAATTTTATTATTAAATTTAATGAATTTATTTAGTTCGTTTATTATGAATTTATCTTTATTAGAATCATTAAAACAATGGACTAATTGTACTCAATTTCAAATTATTTATGACACTCGTGTAGAGGAATTTACTATTCAACAAATTCAAAGAATATTGTATGGAAAAGATAATATTGTTCTGTTAATCCAAACTGTTGAAAATGATTTATTTGGTACTTATCATTCTCAAATACCAACTAAAAGAATTGTTCAACAACCACAGCAATTCTCAAATTGGATTGGAAAATCTGATGAAAATATTTTCCTTTTTAGTTTAAATAATCATAATTCTCCTAATAATCCATTAAAATTTCTTTCAAAAGCATTAACTGAAACTTGCTTATGTTTAAATACAAATGAGTCTCATTTTGAAATAGTTCTTTGGATTAGTTATTGCATTAATTTGCTTAAACCTTTAAATTCTTCAAAAAGTTTTGTCTTTCATTCAATCAAGGATTATTTCTATGTTAATTCCCCTGATGATTTATTAGGCAAACCAAATTTTATGTCTACTTTTATTCCAAAACGTTTTCTCATACTTCAAGGAAATTAATTTAATGTTCTCTTTCATTAGTTTTATCTTCTACTCTAAATTCATTGTCATCATCAAAATCATCATCAAAGTCATCACCAAAGTCATCGTAAAATTCATACTCTTCATTTACCTTTTCTTCTAAAATAAAGTCATTATCATCAATAGCAAAAACTAAACTTATAATATAAATAATATAATATATTAACATCTCTCCTTTCTTTATATTTTTTTAGTCTTTCTTTATTCAGTTTTTTTTTCCATATGTTATTTATAACAAATAATAACAGTATTGGATAGACATTATATTTCCTCAATATCAGTAACTTAAGAATAGAAATAGAAATCGATGATTCTTGTTGCAAAAACAGAACATAGAAAAGAACGTTAATCGATTAAAATACTCGGTAATGAGATTTTTATCAAATTATAATTTGAACCTTTTCCTCGTGAAATAGTTGATTACTCCTTTTTTGTAGAAAAGGGAAGATCTAAACTTAAAAAAAACAAGGGGCTGTTTATTCTTGATGGGATTTTTTATTATTACAATCTTTATTATGTACTTGATTAATGTACCTCTAACTTATACCTTATCTTTGTTCTTTAGAAGAAACCCACTCTACACACTCTTATCTATATTCTTTCCATTTTTAACTGAGCTTTTATTATTTATTCTTAATAAACCAAACCTTGGGGAAGGTAAAGAATTTATGGATTTGGTTGATGTGTGTTGGTACAGATTAACAACACCAGACAATCCAATGGTGATTACTGCAAGTATTGGTGGGAAAGGACAAATTGATTGGAAAAATGCTAGGCAGTTACTTTTTCTAGAATTTACTAAACACAAAAGATTCTGTCAAAGAATTAGCAAGTTGAATGGTTATTATATTCTAGAGTCTGTTCAAATGAATATTGATAACCATATTATCATTGATACTACAGCATTTAAATCGTATGAGCAATATATAAACATACTAGAAAAATATAAATCAGCTCCATTAGACACTGATAAACCTCAATGGAAAATATACTTGTATACTAATGTAATGAATGAATGGAGAATTCTAGCAAGAGTTTCTCATTGTTATTGTGATGGAATGGCTGCAATGAGATTATTGAAAGAGTCTACACAGCATATATCTTCAATTATTTTTAATGAAGAGCCAAATTATCATTTTTTGGATATAAATAAACAAATACCTAAATTATCAAGTCTGGCAACTAAACAACAACCAGCAACAATTATTAAAAGACTCTGTAGAATTTTAATAATCCCTTATTACATGGTTAAATCCTTTTTTGTCAGAGGAGATTTTACCAAAGAACTAAGGAAACCATTGAGTGGAAAGCAATTAGTTTTTTGGAAGAAACTTGATTCAATTGAAAATATTAAATCAATTGCAAGGTGTTATGATGGTACATTAAACTCATTATTATTCTCTTGTTTGAACATTAGCTATTCAAACATATTAAAAAGAAAAGGGAGTTCAAGCAAACAATTACAATTCTATATTGCAACTAATCTAAGACCTTTTGAACCTCAAATCAAACTAGGTAATAATATTGGACTGTTATTAATGAAATTACCATTACAAGAAACAGACTTAAACTCCCTTGTCAAGTATATGAAAAAACAATTAGACAACGCAAAGGAAAGTATGGAGGCTTATTCTTATTATCTTCTTCAATGTCTTGTTGGACTACTTCCTGATTGGATGGAATCAATTGGTATTAAAATTGTATCACAAAAAGCTACATTAAATGTAACTACATTACCTGGACCACAAGACAAAGTGAATTTTTTCGGTTCTGAAGTTGATGATTTTATTGGGTTTGTCCCCCACTTAGGGACAACAGGTAATGGTATTAGTTTTATTGGAAGTGGTGGTGATCTTTTTGTTAGTTTTGCTGTTGATAGTAATTTAGATATAGATCCAAAAAAACTTTATGAGAATTTTGAATCTGCATATCATCAATTCTCTTCAACCAAAGAATATAACAAATTGTTGTGTTATCATTAATTTGTTATTCATTTTAATATTATTGTTTGTCAATAAAAAAAGAAAAAGAATAAAAAAAA